TTCTTCAGGTACCTGAAACAGAGAGAGGGTTAGTGTTGCGTGACCGAAGAGCCCAGGGAACAACTGCTTCAGGCTGACCGGTCACACACCGCCTGTATGAACTGGTTTCTTGGTTTGGTTCCGTATTCGTAAATTTACCTTCGGTTACGGACCACCGTAGGGTAAGTCGGGATGTACAATTTCTGGGGTAGACCTTTTCTAGCCCCCTCAACCTCTGAAGAGTAGAGAGACAGCATAGCTGACTGGCATGCTGGTCGTCCGAGGGAAACACCTCACTGCTGTTACATCCCTGTTCCCCAGCAGTACGACTTCGCCCACAGACCCCCTGCATAGTGTAAAAAAGAAGTCTTGCACTATGCGGGTAACTGCTTTTAGTCTAATCGCTATTCTAACACTCTTCTTGGCATGGTAGGACCTGCAGGAACATTGGTTCCAGCCAGTGTAGCCTGTTGGGTCGTCGCTATGTGCAAGTCCGACCACCACGTTAAGGTAGCAGTTATCTGTCTGTCTCTGTCTGGATTCAACATAGAACTTGGCACCGAAGTGCAGCAGTTCGAGTTGCCACGTTCCAAATAGCACACAAAGGTAGACGGGAAAAGGAGAGAAGAGAATCAATAGAATTTAGATAAGCATAAGATTGAAACAGAATGAGTAATGGTAGAAAGGAATGTGAAAGATTACAGAGACTGAATACATCTGCGTAAGCCATTGACAACGATTTTGAGCCATGTCACCTATTGTCTCCAGCCATTGATTCTTAGAGTCCCGAGGGCGGGCCCCAACCCGGAAGTCTGCATCTCCCTCCCTACCTGACTCAGTTTAACTGTCAGGGATTTCATGTATTGATGAGGCCATGTTTTTGTTTGGCCACCACTTACTCTTTTCCAACCTGCACCTATATCAGCTAGTAATGCCCGTCGAGGGAGGCGATGGTTAGGCATGCGCAGCACGTGGCCTAACCATCTCAATCTATGTAACTTCATAGCCTATTCGAGTGAATTTCCCTCTTTGTCCAACACTCTACGCCTAACGTCAACATTACTTACCTTATTATACCACCTAACGTGAGAAAGAGATCGTAAACATCTGTGGTCAAAAACAGACAATCTCTTCATGTCTTCCGCTCTCAATGGCCACGTCTCACTGCCATAGAGAAGGACGTAGCGAACTGCTGAGCAGTAAACACGTCCCTTGGTTGACAGCCGGATGTCACGCCTACGCCAGAGATGGTGTAAGTTAGCGAAAGCAGCCCGAGCTTTCTGGATCCGTGCTGTGATTTCGTCACCAATCAATCCGTTGGTGCTGATACAACTTCCCAAATAGGTGAAGTGGTCAACATGTTCTATCACTTCACTCCCTGTCACTAAGCTAGGAGTTGACGTAGTCCAGTCCTGTAGCAGCATCTTACATTTCACAGGGGCGAATCGCATGCCAAACATACGAAGATTGCTGCTCAAGGTGTTCAGAAGACTCTGCATTCTGTCAGCGTCCTCCCCTAACAGGACTATGTCGTCTGCGTATTCTAAGTCTATAAGACTATTCCCTGGTAACAAGTCGATTCCTAAGTCATTAAGTTCAGTTAAGGATACTTCCATTAGCATATCTATGATGAAGTTAAACAGAAAAGGGGATAGTGGACATCCTTGACGTACACCACTAGTTGTTATCAATTCGGATGACAATTCCCCATAAGCCCTTACACAGCTACGTGAGTTTGAGTAGAGTGCCTTGATTAGTGCAATGTACTTTCTTGGCACTCCCTTCATAGTCAAACATTGCCATAGTACCTCTCGATCCACGGAGTCGAAGGCCGCCTTCAAGTCAAGAAATATGGCAATTGTTGGACGCCTAAAAGTGTGTCTATGTTCTAGGATCTGTCGGAGAGTGAAGATATGATCTATGCACCCTCTACCTGGCCTAAAGCCCGCTTGATTTTCCCTTGTTTGTTCCTCCCGAGTTCGGCTTAGTCTGTTCATGATTACTGAGCCTAGGATTTTAGAGACTGTGTTCGTTAAGCTGATCCCCCTATGATTATCACATGAGGACTTGTCTCCCTTCTTGAAAATCGGTATCATAAGTGACTTACCCCAGTTTGATGGAACCGTCTCTGATTCCCATACGTTACCTAGTACCTTAGTTAAACTATATACCAGTATGTCACCCGCATATTTAAATACCTCCGGAATAATTCCGTCGGGTCCTGCCGCTTTGCCTCGTTTCAAATTACAGATTGCTTTGGTGACCTCACTTACAGACGGCGGGCCAGTGTCTATGTCCCATTCGGGTGTGTGCTGGATGGCGGGGAGGCTCAGTGTGGCTGTAGGCAAGTTAAACTGTTCCTCGAAGTGTTCTTCAGTGCACACAGAGTGAAGAGGAAGTGAAGAGCCATTAAGTAGAGGAGTTGCATTAGTAGAAGAAAGGCAAGATAATAGAGATGAAGATGAAGACAAAGGTGAGTGAGGAATAGAGAGGTTTCGTGTGCTCTTCGGGTTGTGAGGGCGATTGTTGCTTCCCGGCTGCCCACACCGTGGAAGTTGGTTGCGTGACCGCAGAGCCCAGGGGACAACTGCTTGAGGCCGGTCACACACGGCCTGTTTTTGTTTGTTGTTTTTTATTTGGTGTGTCTCAGTAGCGTATTTATCACTTCTGCCCTGTGACACGGCAGCAGAAACCGCGGTCGTTGTTAATCCGGGCCCCGACCGATCCGGCATGATATTTTGTGATTTGTATGAAGTCATTGGATTGGGTTGGGTAACTGCTTTTAGTCTAACCGCTATCCGAACAACCTTCCTGGCATGGTAGGACCTGCAGGAACATAAGTTCCAGCCAGTATAGCTTGTTGGGTCATTGCGGTGTTCAAGCCCGACCACCACGTCAAGGTAGCAGCTTTCGGTCGGGGGCAGTTATCGGTCAGGTAACTGGCTCTATAAAAGAGAGGAAGTTAGTTACCTGGAGTTCTAGTAAGAAGTCTTGACCAGCAGTAGGGAGTGTCCAATAAGTCAGGCAAGAGAACAGTTACTCACTTGTAACATTGACTAGCAGTCGCATTATATACCGCAAAATAACGGAGGTTAAAACTCATGGGCGACTGGATCCAATCCCAGTCGCTGAATGGCCTACAAGTTCGCCTTATGATTCGAAGTTCTTGATTCGAACAACGATGAAATCAGCTGTCCAGTACTTCCTGGTGGTGGTGGTGGTGATTTCTAATAGCTCCCTAACTGAACTCTAACAGCTCATGATCGAACCGGTAACTCCTTTCTAATAAACTAATCGCATGTTGTATACTCGATGAGGAAGGTGACGTCTGATTGATTTTGTCTCGTTATCTAACACCATACATGGTGGATAGAATGCAAAACATCTGTCTCACAGCTATGAAGGAGAACAGAGCGAACGGCTTTTGTGCACAGTTCACGTCTACGCCAGAGAGAGAGATGACATCAGTGTTGGCAGATATCAAAAAGGGAGGCGCATTTTGGTATTCGTCAGTAGTCAGTCAGTAGGCATTATATAATATAACGTAATATTTATTCGCTTTCATTTGTTTTATTTATTATGACTTTTTCTCCCTCCCTCCTCCTCCTTGTTAGACATTACTTATTCCAGACAGTGATTTCTACACTGGTCTTGGTCAAACTTGTGTAGAAGTTGGTTGTAGTGTAGATCTCTTCCTTTTCCCCAATTCATATATTGATATCGCTTCGCTGGCTGAAGTGCCAAGATTGACTTCTGGGAATTTATACAAGTATAATTGTTTCCAGGTAAGTCAACATTTTCTGGTTTGTCTGTTGTAAATGTTAAAATTTAAAGTTAGATAGTTAGTTAGTTAATTAGTTAGCCAGTGAAACTTTTTTCTTCGGTCATTTACTGAATTGAAATGTAATTAGCCTTTGGTTTGACACTAAGTAGTAGTGTGCTAACGACTAATGTTCATGCGCCTAGTCCCTTGGCATGTTTTAGTGCACATTGAATTCTATATTATACAGTTAGGTTTGCAATGTGCGCCGCCAACAAGCTATAGGTGACTGCTGACTCACCATCACAGTGCAGTATGAATTCTTGTGTTAGGTTTCGTGCTGGTTGGTCGGTCGGTTTTCGACATAGAACTTTGCACATATGTGCGGCAGTTCAAGTCGCCACCCTCCATGTAGCATACAAAGCAAGAGAAGAAAGGAGAAATGCATAATATAGACAGTAAAGAGAGGTGTGAGACAAAGGAATAGTAATAACGGAGAACAAAACAGTTTCATTGGAAATCACAAGTCACAAGGAGTGGATGCATCTGCACCAGCCATTGAGAACGATTTTGAGCCATGTAACCAATTGTTTCCAACCATTGGTTTTTACCGTCTCGAGGACCCCAACCAGTCAGGAAGTCTACACCTTCCTACGTGGCTTAGACTAACTGTTGTAGATTTCATTGACTGGTGCCATGTTTTGATTTGACCACCGCTAGCTCTTTTCCAACCTGACCCTACATCAGCTAACATTGCCCATTGTCGAGGAAGGCGATGACTAGGCATACGTAACACATGTCCTAACCATCTCAGTCGATGTAATTTCACAGTTTCGTTGATTGATTTCCCCTCCTTACCTAGCACTCGACGCCTAACCTCAATATTGTTCACCTTTTTATACCACTTCACGCGGGAGATAGAACGCAGACACTTATGATCGAACACAGATAATCTTTTCATGTCTTCTGCTCTCAATGCCCAAGTCTCACAACCATAAAGGGGGATGGAGCGGACTGCTGAGCAGTACAGCCACCCTTTGGTTGATGGCCAGCCGGACATTACGTCTGCGCCAGAGACGGCGTAAACTGACATATGCGAAACTAGCCTTCTGTATCCGTGAGGAGATTTCGTCAGCGATCAACCCGCTCGCGTTGGCTGATGCAACTTTCTTTCAAATAAGTGAAGTAGTTAGCACGCTCAGCGATCACTACTTTGTCATGGCTCTATCGCTTACTCTTGTGGTACAGAACTTACAACAATATATCTGCATAATCAATCCCCCGGCGCCTCCGCTTACCTAAATCTATAGGTCGCCAGCTGAATCACAAAGGAAAAGTTTTACACGCATCCTTTTTACACAATATCTTTCATAGCTTGAGGAGTAAGACTTATCGGAAGATCCAAGAGGTCTGTAGGCAATAAAAAAGTGCCTCCAAAGCCTCAGGATGGTCGGGGGTGGGTGCCTTGCGCTGCGGGTTGGCTACCCCTCCGTACACCTCCTGAAATGCTCCCATATGACCGGGCGTCTTACATAGCCTCTCCTGAGGAGGTCCTACTCACTGCCTTCACGTGGTGGAGGTGTTTTTCACCAAAGTGAGAGGGCGAAAGCGGATGCCCGGCGCTCTTCACCGGGTTGACTGTCCATTGGATGACAGTCTAGGGGAGATGGCTAAACCCTGATTCCAAACCTCCAACGACTGGCGTATGAAGCTCACTGGAGCTCACCGGCAGACGTATGGACAAAGGGCTTGTTGGATGTCCTGGATGTCTGGCCCCATTCAAAAGGCGTATGAACCGAACTCCGGTCACCGGCTGCCAATGGATAGTGGACTCCCTACTCCACTCCTACTGCCTTGTAGGTCACACTTGGTTGTGTAAAGGCTAGAGCTGCACTCTCAAACAAAAGGCCGAGCGATTCTGGGGACATCACTCGTACCAAATTCCCATGAAACTTCTTGAACTCTCTTACCTGGGCAGCGATGATTCGAGATGTTCATGAAGCCGGCTCATCCTCCCGTAGGAGATAACCGAAGTAAAGTAAGTAATAAAAAAGTGTATAATTGACCTCATATTTTTTTTGGAATTCGATGAAATGGATTGTAAACATTCTAGTGGTCAAAGATAGCTAGCCAGCCTTTTCACCATATCTTCCACACTTTCAATGATATTAGATGGTTGGACGCAATCGGCAGCGGTGGTAGCCTTGGACCTAGGTTTCGTGCTAGTTGGCAATTACCAGTCAGCAAGGCGTAACTGCAACCGTCTTGATGGAAGTCATATCTCACCTCTCTGAGATTCGAGCCCGCGTCACCCTGTTCTGTCTGTAGTCAGAGATGTTACCACTGAGCTAGCTATTTGGACTCACGATTGACCTCCTGTAGGACTGTATTGGATACCTTGATTGGACACTAGTCACTCACTAGTGTCCAATCAAAAGTACACTTTCAATGGTTTGGATAATCTTTCTATTTAACTCTTTCTTTCTTTCTGTCTTTTTATCTTTATAGGCTGATCTACAAGGTGATCAGTTCATAGCAGATTTACAACGTACATTGAGAAATCTTCGTGCATTCAATGCTGTAATGCGTGTACGTACTAGTACAGGTATTCGACCTGTAGAATTCTTTGGTAATTGTTATCTACCGAATACAACTGATGTGGAAATGGCTGGTGTCACTTCTGATATGGCTATCACTGTTGAACTACGTCATGATGATAAACTACAAGAAGGTGAACTCGTTTTCATTCAGGTAAGAGTTATTTTTACTATTATTATTATTATTCCCTTGGGTTCTGAGTGGAACATAGGCCTTCAATACAACGTATTCATTTTGTCCTCTTCAACAGCTGACCCAACTATAGCCCATAACCTTTCATCTTATCCTCACGTGTGATCTCTCCTCCATGTCACACCCGCGAACGTTCAACGCGTAGTTTCCCACTTGGGTGCTACTCGAGCTATGGTCTGGTGGCGTGGTGTGCTATGTCAACCAACTTGTCTGCTCATATTGTATTCGATCCATTTAGATTTTCTTCGAGTTTCTTGTTGCTAATAATTCTTTCTGACGACCGGCTATGTCTGATCTTCAGTGTGTGGAGCCAGCGAAGTGGGCAGCTGTTGGCAAAAGTCTCAAGTGGTCTGTTAGAAATGATATTAGAAAGCAAAAAGGATTGAGCGAAGAAATATTTATGTTTCAATGAAATCCTCATCTCTGGTTCTACTCTAATCTACACCTATAGCTTTTTGAATACAATACACAACATCCTAGTTTGGGAATCATCGGCAGTACGCGCCCCATTGCACCGGGCTTTGAACCCAGGACCTTCCGGTTACAAGGCGAGCTGGCTCGTATACCATTGAGCCACTGGGACCCGATTCAATGGCCACTGTATGAATTCTAACTTCTACCAATTCGTGATTTAGCGCAACTGACACCAACCAATGTCATCGGTGGGCAATCCATCCTCACACTTGACTGGTTGGACCTCACTGGCCACGACTTCTCACTAAAACTCCAGACATAATTTTGGAAAAATGAAGAGTAGTTAAAGAATAAACAAGTGTTCAAGTTGATTGCGTAATAGGTAATTAAATAAGAACAAAATAATTTGGACAATGATAATTTCTAAAAGGCTGTGTGTGGAGGGGGTGAGGGGAAGCGAAGTAGTCAGATTAAAACACTCATGTAACGATAACCAAGGTTAGGAAAGTGGTTGTACAAATTTTGTCTTTCAACTCACAAGTTTGGCTTCTTCAGGTGGATTCCGATAGCTTCAGATGTAGGTATGCAGAAAACTGCCTAATTGACTGATTGGTTTCAACGTAGAACTTTGCACCAGTGTGCAGCAGTTCGAGTCGCCACACTTCACTTAGCACACAAAGCAAGAGAAGAAGAAAGTAAAAAGAAATGAAAAATAGAGACAGTAAACAGAGATAGCAATAGTAATATGTAAGAAGAATGTAATTTCATTGGAAATTATAAGCCACAAGGAGTGGATGCATCTGCGCCATCATCGAGAAAGATTTTGAGCCATATCACCAATTATCTCCCGACCGATAGCTGCTACCTTGACGTGGTGGCTGGAAGTATTGTTCCTGCAGGTCCTACTATGCCAGGAAGATTGTTAGAATAGCGATTAGACTAAAAGCAGTTACCCGCATAGTGTAAGAATCTCCCTTACAATATGCTGGGGGTCTGTGGGCGAAGTCGTACTTTTGGGGAACAGGAATGTAACAGCAGTAAGGTGCTTCCCTCGGACGACCAGCATGCCAGCCAGCTATGCTGTCTCTCCACTCTGGAGAGGTTGAGGGGGTTAGAAAGGGTCGGCCCCAGAAATTGTACATCTCGACTTACCCTACGGTGGTCCGTAACCGACGGTAAATTTACGAATACGGAACCAAACCAAGAAACCAGTTCATACAGGCCGTGTGTGTGACCGGTCGGCCTCAAGCAGTTGTCCCCTGAGCTCTGCAGTCATGCAACAATAGCTCTCTTTCTGTTTCAGGTACCCGAAGAATCAGGCAACTTCCACGGTGCGGGCAGCCGAGAAGTAACAACCGCTCACACTCCTCCAAAAGTACACGAAGCCATCTTTTTTACAGAAAACGAACTCGTAAAACAAAATTAAGATTAGTTGGAATGCGATAAATAACTTTTAGCACTGTACTAGCATCAACTTTATGCTCACTATCTACAAGGTATGCTAAAAGAGAGTTACGACTGGATCTCGTTTCTCCCTTGCCTGACCATTATGCAGGATGATGTTCGGAAATATGATGTAATGTATTGTATTAATAATTATAATCTCCCATGGAGTGGTTGTTTCATAATGATGGCTAGGGTAGCACACACCAATTTGAGCCTGGCTGTCAAAAGTCAGCTTTACAACATTGGTCGGTACGTTCACTATTGCTCTCTACACCTGTGAAATCTGGCCTTTTTTTAGCTAAGAATGTGCGGTGACTCTGCGAATTCGATCATCTCTACCTCCATAGGATTGTTTACATCCGATGTCATCATAGTGTAAGTAATTCTGAGGTATGATAGCGTATGTTTCGACTTGGTGAAGGTCACCATTCATTGATTGAGATCATCTTGAAACACTGGCTTCAGAGGCTTGGATATTTGCTACGAATGTCACCCCAGAGAGGCTTCGGTGCTGGTCGCCATTCGTCAGCCCCAGAAGTGGATGGAAAAAGCGCAAGAAGTGGTGGCCAGCCTATGATATGGGGTCGTGGGTTGAAGGATATTTGTGTTAGATTAGCGCATCAGTTGGTAAATAATGAATTCCCTGGTTGGAGTCCAAGAAATAGTTTGAGTCAACGACTTGAAAAGTAGTCAGATCAGTCAGGTCAAGAATCGTAATCAGTAGCGAATGAATGTTGAATGAGATCTTGACAAGTTGCTTGCCGGATTATCCTCTCTCATAAATTCTTTATAAATATTGTTGAAGCCTCTTTATATACGACTGTAATTCAAGGGCGATGTACCAATTGAAATAATTACGAAGAAATTGAGAAAATCAATTCAAAGAACTTTTAATGCTGGCGAACTACACGTCTTATTCTCTACACGACCGATGGCGACTCCTCGACTGAAAGATGAAGTACCTAGACTAGAATAGCCACTTCAAATTGTATCTACCAATTCAACTGCGCTTTTGATGGAGCGAGTTATATCGAACGTTACTCTAGGAACTTGGTTTTTCGTGCTCGGGAACATCTGCCACTGTGGTTAAATAAAGGTGTAGTGAAAACCATTAACAGTTCGATATTTGACCATCTGGTGGAAACCGGCCACAAAGCCAGCTAGCATTGAAGAATCCTTCTCCATCATCATCTACCGGGTGCCTAATATAAATTGCCAAAAACATCGAAGCACCGCATGCTCCAAGCAGCAGCAGAGGCTATTGTAATTCGCCTCAAACAACCAGTGCTCTGTGTGCAAAAGAAACAAGTTCAGCTAGCCCCTACTACTGCCCTGGCCGGCCTTCAGTAGAGACCATAAATTCATGAATTTGTATTATTATCTCTCCTAATTTTTCTGACATTCAGTTTATTGTTATGTTGATGCTGTTGAACTGTAATCTATTGATATTATTGATTCGATTTTATTTAAACAAGCATTAATGTTGTTCATAACACTAATTCATTCATTCATTCACTATAATGTATGTATAACTGTAGAGCCTGATGAGGAAGAGGTTATCGAAAAGAGTATTCTTTGTTCAGTAACCATTCTTTTGTAAATATTTTTGTCTCATAACTTTTATGTGTGGCGCTCACCTTTTGGTTTGTGTTTTAAATCAATAATATATTACTAATGCTACTATTAATCATTATATCTAAATAGGTTGCCTGTCTATACACCTCAGTGTCTGGACAACGTCGTCTACGCATACATAATCTATCGATACCAGCGACAAATGTCATCACTGAAATATTCCGTTTGGTTGAATTAGATGCACACATGAATTATCTGAGTAAATATTCTATGCGCGCATTATTAAGTCGTCCGCACACTCAAGTGATGGATGAGTTAACGACAAAAGCGGCTAACACACTAGCAGCATATCGTCGTAATTGTGCATCTGGAAGCGGTGGTGATATGGCCTCCAGTCCAGGTGAATTAGTTCTACCACAGAATATGAAATTATTCCCCTTGTATATACAATGTCTTATGAAAACTGAAGCTTTCAGTCCAGGTTGGTTCTACCTTTTATTATTATTATTATATTATTTTCATTACAACTATATTGATCAGTGTGTACATTCTTTTATGAGTAATTATTGATGTGCGTGGGACTGTTGAGTGGGTACTTATTTCTGTTATTATCATTATTATTGTTACTATTGTTCCCTTGGGTTCCGAGTGGCTTTCAACAGTACATCTCCACATTGTTCTGATCTCTTCCTCAAATGATCTTCTTCATGTCACTGTCGGACGCGCCAAACTCGTAGTTTCCCACTCGGGTTCCACTCGGATGATGACCTGGTGGACGATGTCATTCGATGGTCTCCTCCTCAGTGGCGTGTGTCCGATCCATCTTGGTCTTTCCTTCGGCATGTTTGTGTTGAGGAATAAGTTCTTGGTTGATTCGTTCCCAAAGTTTCTTGTTGCTGATTCTTTCTAGTCGGCTGTCTTCAGTAGATGGAGCAAAGGCGACCATAGGATGCGCGATACAAAATCTCATAGTTTGAGCGGATGCTCAGACTGAAGTGCAGGTGGTTGTGTTAAGGCGCCACTGTTGTGACTTCAGGTCTGAGAAGCGTTAGAAGCAACTACATTCCTATGATTACCGGTTCCATAAACAGGTTTATACACCGTCATTCGATGCATTCTGATTCTGGAGTTCATGTTCACCACAGGTTTAGAACCAGGGCTTGCCAGCTCCACGCCTAAGGTGGGTGGTAGACTAGCATGTCTACCAGTTCCGTAGTAATCGGCAAACGTTCGAACTTGCAATTACACTTTTGCGAAGAACACCCCGGCGGTGCGTGAAGGTGGTGATGAATAAGAGTTACTTGTCAGAGATTAGGCTATGAAGGTGTGTGATCACATGATAGCATTTCGAGATGTCTACGATCTCTTTCTCACGTTAGGAGGTGGTATAATAAGGTAAGTAATGTTGACGTTAGGCGTAGAGTGTTGGGCAAAGAGGGAAAATCAATCGAAGAGGCTATAAAGTTACATAGATTGAGATGGCTAGGTCAGGTGCTGTGCATGCCTAACCATCGCCTCCCCCGACGGGCATTACTCGCTGATACAGGTGCAGGTTGGAAAAGAGTGAGTGGTGGCCAAACAAAAACATGGCCTCATCAATCCATGAAATCCTTGACAGTTAAACTGAGTCAGTCAGGTAGGGAGGGAGATGCAGACTTCCGGGTTGGGGCTCGCCCTCGGGACTCTAAGAATCAATGGCTGGAGACAATAGGTGACATGGCTCAAAATCGTTGTCAATGGCTCACGCAGATGTATTCAGTCTCTGTAATCTTTCATATTCCTTTCTACCATTACTCATTCATTCTGTTTCACTCTTATACTTGTCAAAACTCTATTGATTTTCTTCACTCATTTTCTTGTCTACCTTTGTGTAACTGAGTTCAACCCAAATCATAGAAACAAGAGACAAGCAAAATTGCATTATATCAAAGTGGGGTGAGGTTAAAGCCAAAGGTTACACAATCAAATGAAAGAGAGAGAGAGTGAAGACATCCAGTTACCAAGATAAGGAAACACTGATAACTGCTTCTTTCTGAACACATAAATCGGGTTTCAATCGTTTGATAGAAATTGCTTCGGCAAACTTGAGGAGAATCGAGCCCCTTTGTCTATGGATAATTTTAAAGGATTTCGCGATTTCCAACTACCTCACTACCCGTATCGAGGAGATGTCTAGTAATAGCGCTATTACAACAGTTTGTTCCATTGAGAATTAGGCTTTTTGGTACATGTTCAGCGAATCGGAGGCATGCCATTCTTTCTCTTCTAATGTAACCACTCCAACAGATACACGTAAATTTGTATATACGGTTGGAGTTAACATGAGAAGGATATCTGTTTACTTTTGATTGAGCTGAAGAGAACCATGTTGTCCGATACATACACGGGAACCAACTTAGCTTCAGGATAGGCTCTGGCTAGTGACTGACTCAATCTTCTTTTGACTATTGCTGCAATATCTTCACCTTTAAAATGGAGTTGAATGAAGACCAGCTTCTTCGCCATTGTGATTTATTTTATGTTTGAGCTTTGACATCTTTCATATTTAAGATATCGTCTAGATTTTCTTCATTTTTTGACGATCATGAAAGCGTCGTCGTCGACCTATCTCTTGTAGAATTCGTAGGTATCGATCATTTTCTTTAGGCTTGTGTTTTATAGTTTCGCCATGAAGAAATTTACAAGCAATGGGCCTAGAGTGGTGATCCCATAGCTATACCATCCTTTTGGCGCGATATATTTCGTTGTTAAAAGAGAATTGAACATTCAGAGTAGTACATCTCAGTAGGAGTTATTTAAAACGCTCATTGGGTATACCGATGTTCATTCTGCTTGAGTCGGTTGGTCGGTCGGTCGGTCGGTTTTCTACATAGAACTTTGCACATATGTGCGGCAGTTCAAGTCGCCACACTCCATGTAGCACACAAAGCAAGAGAAGAAAGTGGGAGAAATGCATAATATAGACAGTAAACAGAGGTGTGAGACAAAGGAATAATAATAACGGAGAACAAAACAGTTTAATTGGAAATCATAAGCCACAAGGAGTGGATGCATCTGCGCCAGTCATTGAGAACGATCACTTTGAGCCATGTCACCAATTGTTTCCAATCATTGGTTTTTACCGTCCTGAGGACCCCAACCGGTCAGGAAGTCTACACCTTCCTACGTGGCTTAGACTAACTGTTGTGGATTTCATTGACTGGTGCCATGTTTTCGTTTGACCGCCGCTAACTCTTTTCCAGCCTGACCCCATATCAGCTAACATTGCCCGTCGAGGAAGGCGATGACTAGGCATACGTAGCACATCTCCTAACCATCTCAGTCGATGTAATTTCACAGCCTCGTCGACTGATTTCCACCTCTTTGAGTGAATAAGTTCGCATATGTAGCATATTGTTTCATTCAGAGTGGGACGTGTGTTGACAGCGACGTGACATCAAATGAAATCATGATCTTGTTGGATACGTTGACATTTTTGATTGAGTCGATAAAGTCGAATGAATCTCGAACTGTGTGGCAGGAAACTTGTCTTCTGATTGATTCTAGTAGGTCTGCTAACCATTAGGCTGTATAGTGTTAAGGTGAATTGGTCATGTCGACGATCAGTCGAAGAGGTGTACGTGCCCTCCTTGTGTACTTTCGGGAGTCCATAAAGTCGTGGTCTATTTGAACCAGATGGTTTCAGAGATTCGAATGGTTTTTTCGCTGATGAAAAATTCAGTCTTTAGTTTAATGGAGGGTGTCCGTTAGCTTTTGTGTTCGATCTGTTCAGTCATATTTTTCTTGTTGATCGGTTCTGTGAATTTGCATTTATCGGATAGGATAGTCAGTTGATGAATCTCTGAGGGTAACCGTATCGACCAAAGGGCGTGTGTACTGCTCAACAGTCCACTCCGTCCTCCTTTATGGCTGTGAGACCTGGTCATTGAGAGCAGAAGACATGAAAAGATTAGCTGTGTTCGATCATAGGTGTCTGCGTTATCTCCCGCGTGAAGTGGTATAATAAAGTGAGCAATATTGAGGTTAGGCGACGAGTGCTAGGTAAGGAGGGGGAAATCAGTCGACGAGACTGTAAAATTACATCGACTGAGATGGTTAGGACATATGTTACGTATACCTAGTCATCGCCTTCCTCGACAATGGGCAATGTTAGCTGATATAGGGCCAGGTTGGAAAAGAGCTATCGGTGGTCAAACGAAAACATGGCACCAGTCAATGAAATCTACAACAGTTAAAGCCAGCCAGCCACCTAGGAAGATGTAGACTTCCTGATTGGGGTCCTCGGGACGGTAAAAACCAATGGTTGGAAACAATTGGTGATATGGCTGAAAATCGTTCTCAATGGCTGGCGCAGATGCATTCACTCCTTGTGACTTATATGATTTCCAATGAAACTGTTTTGTTCTTCGTTATTACTATTCCTTTGTCTCACACCTCTGTTTACTGTCTATATTATGCATTTCTACTTTCTTCTCTTGCTTTGTTTGATACAAGGAGGGAGTGTGGCGACTTGAACTTTGCACATCGGTGCAAAGTTCTATGTCGAAGACCGACCGATCAACCTGAGGGTAACCGTTGTTTTTCAACAATTTTTTTTCGAGAATCATAAATTCTTTCTCTAATATTTCTCTGTAGAGCATATTCTGCTGGGTCTATAATAGTACAGAGTCGTGACTAGTGATTGTTTTTAGTTATTTGGACAAAAACTATTAAGATGTAGGTGTTTTCCGATCCTTGTTGGCTTTCAGTAAATATTGACCTGTGGAGGGAGGCTACACCATCTTTCAGGTGTGTTGCATGAGACGAGAGATAATATCAAGGAAATGAAACTTTCCATCATTAATTTTATGTTTCTCACAGTAAGTAAATTCAATACTTGTACTCTCTACGTCGTTGAGTAATCCTCAAATTGTTTCTTTTCCTCCACTCCCACCCCCGCGTTCTTTTCTTCTATTTTAGCTGATGGCATTACAATCGATGATCGTTGTTGGCAAATGTTTTTAGTCAATCAAATGGATGTGAAACAATCAAACTGTTATCTTTATCCTCATTTATATCCTTTGGTAAGATTTATATGTGTATTGTTATTCATGTATGCATGTGTGAGTGCGTGTGTGCGTGTGCGTGGGTGTGTGTGTTTGTTGTAAAGTTGAACACAATAGTTTTGAAAAAAAACTTATTTATTCCCTTTTCTTTTCTTTGAAAAAAAGCAATTCTACAACATAGGTAAACAATAGGCACCAACGTCAAATGACCTTGAACTAGCCAATCAGATTCTTCCGTATGAATAATTGGCCTTCTTCAAGTATTTATTGGTTTTTGTTTGATTGATTGATTGGTTGGTTGGAGGATTTTATCATGAGCTGTGACCTCATTTGGAGAACTGTTGGAAAACCAATCAATCAGGGAGTACTGCCAGATAGCCAGCTGTTTCGTCAGCCTAGTTTTGGACTCCACTACGGCAGTATGCACCCACATCGTGGGTGGGGTTTGAACCCCCAGGACCTTCTGGGTACAAGGCGAGGTCGTAGACCATGGCATTTATTGTATACAAGAAGTATATTTGTAAGAACAACAGTGATTTATGCAGACTAAAATGGTATTTCGTTGGCTTCTCATCAGCTGCTGCCTAAAGGTCAAAGTCATCATTAAGTGTATCTACAGAAACAATTAAACTTACTTGCACAGAGTTCATTTTTGAACAAAAATCAATCAATCAGTATATGCATACACATATATATATATATATATATACACTTTATCCCGAACAATGACCACTCACAATGGAAACCTTCTGTGTTACGTAATCAGACGAAAAACAGGTGAAAATATCCAGTTACCGGGCAGGGCAAAGAAAGACTGATAACTGCTTCTTCTTTCTGAACGCACAAATCAGGTTTCAGGTGCTTGGTGGAGATGACTTCAGCAAAATTGAGGAGAATTGAACTCTTGCATCTAGTGATAATTTCGAACCATCTTGCGATGTTCACCTCATGACCTGTGTGAAGGAGATGCCTGGTGATGGCACTGTTGAAAACATTTGTTCCCTTTAGAGACAAGCTTTTTTGGCACATGTTCAGAAAATCGTAGATATACTCTTCTTCTTACTGTTCTTCCAATGTAACTGCTACCGCAGATACATGTTAATTTGTATATACAGTTGAAGTTAACATGAGAAGGATATCTATCGATTTTTGATTGCATCAAAGAGCAAGTTGTTCGATAGACGGGAACGAGATTAGCTGCAGGATAGGCTATGGCTAGTGATGTGCTCAGCCTTCTGTTGATCATCGCTGCAATGTTTTCTCCTTTATAATCAAGTTGAATGTAGATTCGCTTTTACTCCCCTGTGATATGTCAGGTAAGTTGATGAGAAGCCAACAAAATAAACACTGATGGTGGTACCATTTTATTCTGCACAAATCGCCACTGTTGTTCTTGCTTTATTCAAATGCGCATTAAGGGGAATAAAATGTATGAAATTTGATAAAAATGAATTATGCTGGGTATATATCTCTATATCTAATATGCTACAAAAATCGCTCCCAGTTTCTCATAGAAGTATCTATGTTGATGGGCAGGCAACCTAGTAGAACAGATAAGAATGAAGTCCCTGTAACCGATCAGACAGATTTCTATACTAGGTATATCGATGACACATTTGTCATTTGTGGTTGTTTCAATGACACATCTGAAATATTAAGCATGTTGAATAGTGTTCATCCTAATATAAAGTTTAATGGACCCAGAAACAACAGCGGACTTGATGACGCCACTACTACAGAAGGTATGGAAAGAAGGCAAAGTACCCGAGGATTGAAAGAAAGGATACTTATTCAAACTACCAAAGAAAGGAGACTTAAGTCAATGCGAAAACTGGCGCGGAAATTACGCTCCTGTCCATCCCAAGCAAAATACTAAGCCGCATCATCCTGGAGAGAATCAAACATGCCCTGGATGAAAAACTTCGACTGGAACAGGCTGGATTCAGGAGAAACAAGTCATGTATTGATCAGATCGTCACATTACGGGTCATCATTGAACAAAGCTTGGAATGGCAGTCAACTCTCTATCTCAACTTCATCGACTTTGAAAAGGCCTTCGACAGCGTCGATCGAGAGGTGATTTGGAAACTACTTCGCTACTACGGGGTGCCAACAACAATTATACATCTTATCCAACAGCTGTACGACAATGCTGCATGCCAAGTAATCCACAACGGGAAAATTATGGAACCCTTGGAAGTGAGGACAGGAGTAAGACAAGCTGGCTGCCTACTATCGCCAATGATTTCCCTGATTGCAGTAGACTGGATAATGCTACAGACAGCGGGCAATGAGGAAACAGGCATAAAATGGACTCACACAAAAAAGTTGGAGGATCTGGACTTCGCCGATGATATATGTCTGATTTCCCACAAACTGGAAGATATGCAAGCGAAAAGCAACAAGTTGGCAGAAGAAGCATCCAGAGATGATAGGCCTTCAGGTGAACATAGAGAAAACAGAGGTGATGAAGATTCCTGGACAAGAACAACAACAACAGACAACAATCAGCATAAATGGAAGGAACCTGAAAGAAACTACCTCCTTTACCTACCTGGGAAACATCGTTTCAACTACAGGCGGAACTGACGAGGATATCAAAGCAAGAATCAGAAAAGCAATACAGGCTTTCACTACTCTCAAGTCTGTGTGGAGGTCAACAGCACTCAGAATCAAAAATAAGATCCGGATTTTCAACTCCAATGTGAAGTCAGTGCTGCTCAACATACGGATCAGAGACTTGCACTGCGCGTCATAAAGAGCATCTCAAACAAACTACAGACCTTCATTGACAGTTGTCTTTGCTCAAGATCAGATGGCCGGCCAGAAAAGATCAGCAACAGAGATCTCTGGCAATGGGCGAACCAACCAGGAACTAATTGTGAAACAAATAGGCAGGAAGAAATGGAGATGGATTGGCTGGCCATACTCTGAGGACACCATCAAGTGACATCACTAGACAAGCCATTGCTCGAGTGGAACCCGAAAGGGAAGCGGCGAGTTGGTCGTTGGTGCAAGGGTGAGGGTGACTTGGAGGAGGTCATGTGAAGAGGAGATGAAAACGTGTGGGCAGACATGGAGCCAGGTGAAGACTCTAGCAGAGAACGGAACGCAATGGAGACGCACGGCTGAAGCCCTATGTTTCTCTAGGAATTAAAGGAAACCATAATAATAATAATAATAATAATAATAATAATAATAATAATAATAATAATAATAATAATAATATAAAGTTTACAGTAGTTTGAAGATTAGGATGTTTCACTTTTTGATCTATGGCATCAAAGGTACATTTATAGAAAGGAGACCTGATGGGCGATTTATCTGAAGTTCAAAAGCTCACGCCCTTTAAGTTACAAAAAGGGATTGGTGAGAATACTGTTTGGTCGTGTATGGAAGCTATGTTCAGAAGAAAAATTCGAGGAAGAACTATCCGCTGTTGAAAAAAATGCCTACGTGATAGTGGTTATCCATAGAGAAGTTCATCGAAAAACATGGAAAACGTCATATTGACGAGGTGAAGTACAACAGAGTAGAGAAAAAACCCATCTTTCTACAGCTTGCCATCAAAGGTGACAAGACTGCCAGTAGTAGAATAAGATACTGACTGACCGTTGCCCTGAAAAGAACACTTCCAACCGCCAAGCTTGTATATGTTTATCAAACGACCAGTTGTTTAAGACAGTCAAAAATGGACGACAATTACTCGCCTTTGGCATTGGTTGGCGGTTGCGTGCTAAAAAAATAATCGTGAATTGATAGAAGTTAGAAGTCATGGAACAACTATTGAATTTCGGGACAGCTGTCTGTGAGTAATCAACATCGAGCTTAGCGTCAATGTAACCTGAAAGATTTGGGTTCAACTTACAGTGGTATTGGTCATAGGTGCGTAACATGCTGAAGAGTCCCAGTCTGGGACGAAACAGATGAATTTTATCGATGTGGTGTGTAGTCATGAAACTGGGCATCACATTGTGTTCTGGTTCTTTATTAAGACGTCATCTCTATGGTACCTTCTCCTTGGTTTATTTTCTATCTGTGCTGTGTAGGAAGGAAATCTTTGATTGGACACTAATAACTAGTGTGATGTGTGTGTCTAGTCCTTTGTTCGGTGTAGACTGAATTCTATCAGTCAGATTTTCACTGTGGCCACCATTCTAGGTAGCTCGCCAAGGAGGTCAATCGCGAGCCCGAATAGCTAGCTCAGTGGTAACGTCTTTCACTGCAGCCAGCACTGGGTGATGCGGGTTCGAATCTCAGAAGGGACATGATTATGAGTTCCTTCAAGGCGGTTGCAGATATGCCTTGCTAACTGACTGGTGGTGACTGCCAAATAGCACGAAACCTAGATCTTGCGGGGCTTCCTATGGCCGGTTGCCTCCGACCATCTAACACCATCAAAGGAAGGAAATTGTTGAATGAAGATGACACTTCTAGAGACCTATGCAATTTCATCCCTTTTAATCATTTTATTTACCGCTTACTTGTTTTTATTTTATTTTTGTTTTTTGTCTTCATTAGCATGATCTTTCAAAGAATTTCGAAGGTGATATACCTTTCCCCCCGCTAGCTATACGTTGTTCATACGATCGTCTGAAAATGGATGGTGTCTATCTCCTGGATAATGGCATCTATCTTATCATGTGGATTGGTCCAAATGTTTCAACCGATTGGATACATTCAGTGTTAAATGTACCGAATCCAAAACATTTTGAAAGTGAAAAGGTAACTGAGTTTCAGCTCTGTTGTATCATGTATAATGAGGCTTCAGCGGCATCTCTCCACTTCTTTATTCTATTTTGTGTGCTGTCCTCTTTATAGCCGGGCCCACGATTGTCCTTCTGTCTGTCATCTCCTCCGCCTGAAGCAATCTCCTTCATGCCAGCTTCGACGTGATGACCCACTGGAGCGATGGCCTGAACTGTGTGTGCGTGATGATGTCATGTAACAGTCTCGTCAGTGTGTGCCCAATCTATCCGGATTATCTCCTATATAATTAATTGTTTACCGATTGGTTCTTGGCTAGTTTTCTCTTCTATAGTTTTGTGTTATTGATTCTTTCTGGCCAGCCCAGCCAGCCATTAGATCATCAATGTGTGCAGCCAGCGTAAAGTGGTCGCCAAGTTTCTGACCCATACTAGAAGACGCGACTGACTGACTGACTAACTGACTAACAACATTTGTGTTGAAAATCTGAATGTTTTTTCCTTTATGCTGAGTCAGTGCAGAGAAGATTACCAAACCGCTTTCAGATTGATGAAGGTTCTATCTCGCCTTTCCACGATTCTGTCTGGTTTTGACACCCTCATCCATGCTATTGCCTGTAGTTAGTTGAAAAGATGGTGGCTAGATAAGTGAAGGAGGTGACCTCTTTTAGATTTCCCTCGTTTATGGGGATTGGTGCTGGTTTTCGTTGCTGTTCCTGTTGATCGATTGGTTGGTTGGTTGGTTACCTTGATCACCTCCTTCGTCTTCTCTATGTTCACCTAGAGTTTTGTCTTCTCTACTTGCCTCTTTAGCTAGTTTGTTGGTTTTAAACATAAATCGTCTACACGCGAAATCCAAATTTTGTGGAGTCTTTTTATCGGTAGTCCAGGGTATTCCTATCTTCTCACTCTCTGTGCACATTCTGACGCATAATCCAGTCCACCATAATTAAGAATATCGTCGGTGATGATAGGCAGCAGGCAGACTTGTCTTACTCCTGTCTTCCCTTGAAAGGCTTCGCTTGGTTTTCTGTTCCAAATCATCTGATGTCTAGGGTGTTAGATTATATAAATGTATTTAAACACCACAGAATTGGTGCATTGTAGCCACCGAGAGATGTGCTACACTCAGGCCGAAGCAGGTGGTTGTTTTAAGGCACACCACGCCACACCACCGAGCCTTTGATGTGAAGTCTGATCCAAAAAAGAGTAGAAAAGAGTCAGGAGCTGCTTTCCCATTGGTTTCCTGGAACCCATATACACACCATAGGGGGTTTGGGATCAGGCTGTTTTTTAGCTCCCGTCCCTAAGTTGACCTGGATGTCTGGGAGTCCGGTGGAACAGTCCTGCTGTATGAAGGCAAGTGCATAGGGATGTTCACTTGTTAGAAGCGGTGGATGTGTGGCCGCATCAGAGGATTTCTAGATGAAGGCCGAAATCTTTCTACTGTCGACCGTATTGACTGACTGGTTTCAACATAGAACTTTGCAAAAAAGTAAGTTCAACAGTTCGAGTTGCCATACTTCCTCCATGTAGCTCAGAAAGGAAGGCAAAAACAGAGAAAAAAGGATTTCAAAATTATAATCATAAGCAGATATGTGACGGAGAAATAGTAAAGTTGAATAGATATAGGCGTGCGTCGGTAGCATAGCGGTTAGGACGCTCGCCGACCATGCACATGGTCAGGGGTTCGATCCCCGGCCGAAGCACTCCTTTACCTCGCTCGCTAAGCCATAAATAATGCTGGTGAAGAGGAAAGGTTGGGCATGGGGCTAGCAACCCCATCCTGTAAAATAAACACTGCTACAGAAACTTCAAGCCACTAGCTTGAAGCCCTATTTTCCACTGGGTAACGTGAAGGAAAAAAAATAGATATAGGCGATTATAAAGAGTAAATATCTGTGCGCCATCACTGATAACAATTTCGAGTCTTATTGTAACCGTAGAAGACGAAAGACTCGGTAAAGGAATGTTTATTTGCAAACTGGTATCTTTGTATAGCGAAATTATATACACCTTATCTTCAACGCAACTTTTCCACAGACGTTCGTGTTGTGGGGCTTCTGGCTTTCCTTAATATTGTGTTTCTTTGTCTTCCTTTCCACGTCGTCTCCTATGTATCTATCTCCACAACGCTATACCATTTTCCTTCTCTGACATCAAATGTATCTCCTTGATATTTTTGATGTTTTTTTATGCCGATGAACGTCTCGCCACAATATCACCAATTGTCTCTAGCATTCATTGGTAAAGTACGCACTGGATACAGAACTCCGACAAGAACAAGCTGGATTCAGGAAAGGCAAATCATGTTCTGACCAAATTGCAACTCTACGCATCATCATCGAACAAAGCATGGAATGGCAATCAAACCTCTACCTCAACTTTATAGACTTTGAGAAGGCCTTCGACAGCGTTGACCACGAAGTAATTTGGAAAATACTCAAGTACTACGGCGTACCCCAAATATTCATCAACCTTATTCAACAGCTGTACGACAACGGCACATGTCAAGTGATCCACAACGGAAATATCAGCGAGGCGTTTGGAGTAAACACAGGAGTCAGACAAGGGTGCTTATTATCACCAATGATATTCCTAATTTTGGTGGACTGAATTATGTGTCAGACAGTGGGAAACGAGAAGACAGGGATATCCTGGACCGACGTGAAGAATCTAGAAGACCTGGATTTTGCGGATGATTTATGTTTGATGTCACACAAAATCGAAGACTTACAGGCGAAAACCGACAAACTGGTCGAAGAAGCAGCCAGAGAATGCAGGACTCCAGGTGAACATAGACAAGACGGAGGTCATGAAAATAACCCACTAACAACAACAACAACAACAACAACAGCAACATCCAGCGCCAGTCACCATCAACGGGAGGGATTTGAAAGAGGTTACTTCATTCAATTATCTAGGGAGGGAGCATTGTCTCAACCACAGGAGGAACGGACGAGGATGTCAAATCGAGAATCGGGAAGGCGAGAAACACATTCATCAACCTGAAACCAATCTGGAAATCTTCGTCACCCAACTCAGCATCGACAACAAAATGATTCGGATTTTCAATACAAACTTCAAGTCAGTCAGTTCTTCTATACGGATGGATCAGAAACTTGGCGGGTCACAAAGAATATTTCCAACAGCCTGTTGCAGACCTTTATCAACAACTGTCTTCGCTGGCTCTATACTCAAGATCAGATGGCCGGCAAGAACAAGAACCAACAAGAAACTATGGGAACAAACAAAACAAGAACCAATTGCCCAACAAACTAACTATTATGGATTTCATTGACTAATGAAGCAATGTTTTGGTTTGACCACCACTGACTAACTCTTTTCCAACCCCTGATCCACCTTATATCAGCTAACACTACCCGTTGTCGAGGAAGGTGATCGGTAGCTAGGCATGTATAACATGTGTCCTAGCTGTTTCAGTCGACCGTACTAGGTCTTTCATTAGGAGTTGGACGGATGTAGTTTTACTATGTGTGACGACTTCTAATGACTAATTTTTAAGAGTTTCTTTGTAGAGATTCGCTGAGTTTCGATTTTGACCAGAGATTGATATCTGTTAGAGAACCATTGAAAACACGTTGGGAGTACTGGACAGTCAGCTGTTTCGTCCCCCTAGTTTGGGATTTATTGGCAGTACTCATCAACAGGGTTGAAATAAATCAAATCGGTACAAAAACTCTTGAAAATTAATCTAATGATCGGTAGTGACTGGCTATAGGAGGACGGAGTTACTGGGAGTTCTAATGAGAAGTCGTGATCAGTAGGGTCCACCCGGTCGGGAGTGGGACCAAGTACTCGCAGAAATAGCGGTCCAGTACTCCAATGCTGATTTTCAACTGGTTCTCTAACCGATATCAGTCTATGGTGAAACTTCGAGTGATTTTTCCCCCCCGAAAAGTTAGAGAACATGTAACTAGCTCCACGTGAGCAGTGGAATTTGTATACACACAAACAGTGATGTAACCAACTATGGTAATTTATCTGTAGTCAAGTCAGTATGGATAATATACATTTTATGAAATTATATCCTATCCCATTAGAAATGTTCCCTACACAATACATTGATAGAATTCAAACAGACCCATATAAAGAGTGTAACCTCAGCAAGGAGATTGCATTTGTACATGGCCACCTATGAGCGTTTATTACTTACTTTTGGAATAAAGTTTATTAATAAGTTTCTTACTACTCAAATCTGTTATAAGTAACATAATGCAATGCTTAAAAATACATGTGATGTACATTTACATATGTGTATATTCATATATTTTAGATTTATGATTTGAATGCATATGATAATGAAACGTCAAGTAATGTATGGTATGTAGTATGGACTATTCGTAAGACCCATTTACATTATTCTCGGGTAAGTAGAAATCTGTGTTTACTTTTCTTGTTTTGTTTTGTTTTCAAGAGTTTGTTTGTATAGGGATGCGATGATTGGTTTCAAGTTTGATTATGAGCTGATATGAGATAGGGAGAATTATTCGGAAATCCAGAGGTGCTTCATCCTAGTTTTGGACTCTTCAGTAGTGTGCACACCAATGACTTTTGCTTGCGATTGAATCCAATACCTTCAGGATTCCCCGTTGGTTCTAATGATTGGTTAAAGGACTCACTTCGTAACGTGAAGCGTGTGGGGTTCGATTACCAATGGTAGTGACATGGGTACGTGTCGCTGAAGAGTTCCGGAATGGGATGAAACAGTTATGCCCTATATTTCCTGGTTTTTAATGCTCCTCTAAATGATATCGATTCGCGATCAAACTTGGAGTCTTTTTATATTGTGTATGGTAAATTTTATGATTGAAAAGGAGTAAATTTATGAAATAGTTAAGCTATTTCATTTGCAGTCAGTCTTACAAAACTGTTTTATTTTTAATGAGTGCATATACAGACACTCTCACTGCATATAATATTGCATTTTGACAATAATCATCTCTGAAGGCTCTCGTTTTCTCCACTACATGACCACTATCAATTAAATGTGACAAAATTGAGCTACGGATTGTTTTTGTCTGTCCTTTGCCAAACCACCATAATGGGAGATGTTCAATAACACGTTGGTCAAGCTGTCTAGTAGTAGTACGCCCAACATACCTGTCACCGCAGGTGCAGTTGAACTGATAAATGCACATAGATGTAGCAAAACTATCAAGCTTATCCTTCGTTTGCGTGTGAATCATTCGTCGGCTAGAGAATGACAAACACGAGTTTATTATATGCTGCATTGGGCCTACTAGTGCTCTTAAGGGACACCCTGGTTCCCGTGTACACTATTAGTTTGGAATGAGGGTTTTGCAGCTCTCTTTCCCAAGTAGACAGGCATGGCTACCACCACTCCGTTGTGTAAGCACCAGACTTTCGCATTCATCCTTTCACTTTCGTGAGGAACGCACCCTTTACACTGCGTGAAGGTAGTGAATAGGAGTTACGTGTTCCGGATTTCTGGTTTTCAGAGAATAAGAGTTGAGTTATACCGAAGTTCAATGAATGCTGTTTTACGATTATTTTATTGCGGATTTTATAACAAACTAACATCATTTAGAGAAATATTGGGAACCAGGGAATACTGAACAACTGTTTCGCGCTAATTTAGTACTCCTCAGCAATGACCACCCACCACCCGAAAGGGGACGAATTCCATGGACCTTAGGGTCAACCTCGTTAACTGTTCAACCAAATCCCTAAAAAATCAATAATCTAAACATCAACCTTCACCTCATTGGTGGCTACATGGTGGAATGTCTTGAAGGTATATTGACAAGTTGTGGCCGGTGGGATCTACCATGCCAAGGTGAAGCAGTTGCTCATCTATTGAATTGGTCGATGGTAGCGCCATATCACGAATTACCAGAAGTTAGAACTCATGAGTTGTTAATTTGTAGCTTAATCTCTGGCTTAGTCTCTTCGCAACGTGAAGATCTGGTTGCTTTCGAATCCTGGTTGGGATTGAGGGCGTAAACTATCACTGCAGAGAAGTCGTCAAGCGCTCTTCATTCTTTTATCAGTATTTTTCTAAATTAATAACATTGATTTTTCTTCCCAAATCGTCGAAAACACTCATCAGTACATTAGAGAGGAAAGAAGAACAAGAAGAGGAAGAAGTTCAGCAAACTGATATCTACCTTTCCGGTGATTTCATTCCTAAAACCAGCTGTACAATCGCATTTATATGCATAAGCTGCTTACATAGATACAATTATTACTTATTTAATTCCATTTAGTAACTGGGGAGATTAAAGATGGTAATAATTTTCAACTTGAATTGAAAGTTTATTGGTGTGAATATTAGATTGAAAAGGGCTTAGAAACAAAATTACACAGGATTAGAAAAGTTTTTTCTCTCACGAATACAGATGTGAACGGAATGAATATGGAAAAAAACTTGTAATAATAATAACTTTCTATAGTTGGTTTGTAAGGATTAGATTTGGTTTTACGAATTTCACCATGGATTGATATCAATTAGAGAACCATTGGAAACTAGCAGGGAGCACTAGAAAGCTGTTTCCTCCATCCTAGTTAGGGAATCATCGGCAGTACGCACCCACTGCACCGGGGTTCTGACCCAGGACATTCCGGTTACAAGGCAAGCTGGCTCGTATACCATTCAGCCACTATCAGCACCCGATTCAATGGTCACTGCATGAATTCTAACTCCTACCAATTCGTGACCAGTGAGGTCCATCCATCCAGTCAAGTGTGAGGATGTATTTTCCACCGATGACATTGGTTGGTGCCAGTCACGCTAAACCATGAATTGGTAGAAGTTAGAATTCCTGGGCTGGTCATTGAATCAGGTCCCAGTAGCTGAATGGTGGTCAACAAGCTTGATTTGTAACTGGAAGGTCCTGGGGTTCGCACTGCGTTGCAGTGGGTGTGTACTGCTGATGATTCCCAAACTAGGACAGAGGAAACAGCTGTCCAGTACTCCCTACTAGTTTTCAATGGTTCTCTAACTGATATCAATCCGTGATCAACTCGTAAAAATAATAGTTTCTTCTATAATGAGTGGAATAAAAACACACAACGAAACCAAGGGCTCAAACCGAACTAGATCCGTAGTAAATGTAGACATTCGACTAGTTTCTTTTGTGAACACATAACTCCGGCTTTTTGATGTATATATAGTGAGGCTTCCTACAGTAAAAAGAAGTCGGAAATACACACTCACGCACACAACCTTTTTGTAGATTTTTGTTTACTATGTAATTGACTCTGTATGGTGGATGGACGCGTCGCTGGCACAGCGCTCATGACTCTCGCCGACCATGCACATGGTCTGGGGTTCGGTCCCCTGACGATGCACACCTGATATATAAATTGGTCGGCGTGCAAGATTTGGGCTACCGATATCACATGCTGAAAATTCCATACTTGTACTAAAAATATGGTGTGGAATCAAGCTATAATAAAAAAAATAAATAACTGTCCGTTGATATGCTCTTATAGGTGTTGACGAGGTGTGTTCACTTATGAAGGCCTTCTAATTGAACCATTGCATTCTGTTTTTGTAATTGTACTGGTTAGTGTTCACGAACCTCGTTTTAAAAGGCTGTGTGTATGTGTGTATAGAACGACCACATGAGCATATGAATGATATATATATATATATATATATACATTGGAGTGGTCATATGCGGAAGTTTGTCCTTCACATTGCTTAGACACGATGAACGGTTAGAGAATTATACTTGTAGAGTTAGTGCAGGTGCATCGGTGGCACAGCAGTAGAATGCTCGCCGATCACACCACACGTGGTCCGGGGTTCGATCCCCGACTGACCAATGCACTACTTTACCTCACTAAGCCAGTGGTAATAAGACTGATAAAAAGGGAAGGTTTGGCATGAGGTTAGCAACCCCTTATGCCGTAAAAATAATCACCACTGCTATCGAAACTGTAAGCCTCTAGCTTGAAGCCTTCGCTGTGTTCCTTGTGGGGAACGTAAAGGAATAACCAAAAAACAAAAAGTGTTACTACTGCAGGAAAGGTCTTCGCTTTTGGGGAATTGGAAATTCTCCTCTTTAGGATATCTGCTGCCTATGTCTCCTTGTGAATGAAGTTCAAATTCGTATAAAATGGTTGTCGTTTGGCATTTTGATTAGTTGTATGCCCTTCTCGACCGAAACATGATGGGTATCCATTTTGAGTCAGGATGTTGCTATTTCACTCACAACTGTTTTATTTTTGTTCTGTTTTTTTTTTCTATTTTGTAATTTCTAGTTATTAGTTGTACGTCCTGGAGATAAAAGTGAATTATGGTTTCGTCGTTTTATGGTCGAGGATCGTTGTAGCAGTAATTCAATCTCTTATACAGAATATTTATGTCATATACATAAAGAAGTTTCTGGTCTGTTACGTTGAGATATGAGAGAGTGAGCGCGCGCGCGAGAGAGAGCGACAATTACACAGATATACTTTTCAAATTACACAAAAGAGTGATCAAGTTCTTACTTACCATTACTCTACTACTTATATACTAACTAATTTGAACAGTGTGTTAAAAACTTGTTAAGACATCTCTTCTTTTAGCTTTTCCTTTTTCATTTGAAATCTCCCGTCTGCTGGCCTTCCTCAGCCTACTCTTCTATATCTATCTACCTATCCATCTGTCTATATTGAGTGTTTAAAACATTTCTCATAGGTGAACACTGAAGGCGCGCTCTGCCTTTAACTCCGTATTAGGGTGTGATTTTTCACGACTCTGATTATCAATTATTGTGATTATTATTTGATAGTTTTCTTGTTCTACTCTTATAGACACACATGTTTATCTGTCTTCTTGTGGGTGTGTGGATGTGCGTGTCATTCTTACGGATCTTCATGAGATCATCCTCACCGCGGTTTTTCATTTCGGTTGTTTTTTGTCGTTGTTTGACTTCTTGGGGATTTTTTCCTAACTTCTTTTGTGGTTATTAGTTAATTAATTAATTAGTTGGTTAGTTAGTCTTTCTTACTTTGATGTGTGTGTGCTTGTGTGTAGGTGACTGCCCTCCTGTCAGTGTATCCCTTCTCCTACTCTCCCATATTCTCCCGCCTGTTGGATCTCTTCGTCTACTTCTCCTTCTTCTTTATCGTCTGTCTTCTAGTTCCCCAACCTAAGACCGGCTACTTATTCTTGCTTTGTTCATGAAATCACAATAATAATGATAATAATAATGATGTAATAATGAGCATGGCACTACGCGTTACTACTGATAATATGCACTGAGTAGTAGTTTATCTTTTTCTCATTTTATTTTGGTTTTCACTTTTGTTTATAAAGAAAAAAAACACAACAACAACAAAAACAAGTGCTTTATGATTACTATTATTATTATTGAGTTAATTTTTGACAAAAAAAAATATGTTTTGTTCTCCGGTTTTGTCCTGAAGCGTATGTTTTATCTTTTGTTCTAGTGCAGCAGCGGGGGAGGGGGAGAGAAGTGAAGAGATATCGCAGTACAGTACAGTACATTAGATATAAGTGCCAATTGTTATAACTGAATTTTCCCTTTATGAATTTAGACAAATCAATAAGAAGATGAAATTTGTCCGAATCGTGTACTATTGTATTTGCTTAACACATTTCCAGCAATTTGATCACACACTCATGGACTTTTCATAGGAATGTATATATAAATGAAATTAATAAAGAGTTAAGAGGTGAGAAAATAGACTACTTAGGTAAAGTTAAAAGGCCGCCACATTGAAGGTCAAAATAACAATGAAGATCAGTCACTAAATCAAATAACAGAGGTAATAGTACATCTACCCTAGCTGGTATCAAAACAAAGTTTACCAAGGAAGGCAGGTTTAGTGTGATGACGAATTGTTGATTTGAACGCATAAAGGTGGTTTAAACTTTCTAATTGCCAACTAGGGCTTCCACAAACTTTAGGATACGCCCTCCGCCAAACACGTTTTATAGATAGGTTTAAAAGATGTGTTGACGTCAATTTTATGTCCTGTATCCTCTGTAACATATTTCGCAATAGAGGAGCTAGGTCTCCTGTTCTCAATAAAAATGGGTTCTGTAGATTCCATTCGCTTCTAGAACCATATAGGAATATGCTCTGAAGTTGGCCCGTACTTGCAGATGTGAATGAGTCCTCCTAATGTATGTGTATCCACACGTACATTTGAATTGGTAAATACAGTGGGATGTGACATCATTTTTCGTATGTTCAAAGGGCTTAGTTGGATATATTGGCTTCACATTCTCATATATTATGATTTTAGCTGCATAATAAGTCTTTTTAACAACAGCGTTCAATCTTTGTCTAGTTATCAAGGGTAGGGTAGCTTGATGTACACGTCTTTCTTAGGGGCTAGTTGGAGAGTGGGTCTTGGTGTTCTGACTACTTTATATCTCCTGATGAACTTGTCTGGATAATTGTTATCAACCAGAGTTTGTGTCAACTTTCTTTCTTCTTCATCAAGTGTATCTTCAGTGCATATTCGTTGGATTCTACTGAAGAAGCACCTTACTAAGGCCACACATACATAGGGAGGACTCTTCGATTTCTGCAAGTAAGGACTGGCTTTAGAGCATATTCCTAAATGGCTTCAGAAGCGAATAGTTACTAGTGTCCAATCAAAGTATCCACTACAGTCCTACAGTGGTAACGTCTCTGAATGCAGACAGCACTGGGTGACGCCCGCTCGAATCTCAGATATCTCAGGCGGTTGCAGATAAGCCTTGCTGACTGGTGACTGCCATCTTGCACGAAACCTGGGTCAGGCAAGGCTTCCTGTTGCTGACTGCCTCCAACCATCTAACATCATCATCTGAGGTCAAATGTACGGTACAATTTAACAGTATTAGCGTCCATTAGTCAAAGTTACCTCAACAGTGCCATTAGGCGTCGATTCAGATCCCATTCTTTCTTGAGTACAAAACAAGTTATTGTACAACAAAATTATTTGATCAAATCAACTATAAGAAGTATCTTGAAATGAAGTAGAATATTCCCAACAACGTGGGATCACAACTCTGTCACAGAAAGAATCACACATCAAACAATCCCCACAGATAGTTCAAGGTTAGAATGAACTTGGCTTCAATTGAACAAAATCTCAATCGTTAAAATACACATTATCAATATCGTTATCGTCATCGTCACACAATCACATAGAGAAGCGTTAAAATTAGCGATTTGACAGGAACTAAGACAAATAATATGGATTAAGTCACCAGATATTATGCAAACGTAATATAGAGGCTATGAGAACTCTATTATAGATAAGATTTTATTTTGATAAAGTCTCACAGTGTGGTGTTATACAGTAATATTAACTGATGACGTTTCGAGCACAAACTATTGCCACTCATAATCATATCAAGGCACTCACAACCTTCTTGCTTCATTTATATACATGAGTGGAATTGATGATTAGACTTTTGAATAAAAATGAACATAGGATAATGTACAATCAGATATAATAATAATATGAGTGTTATTGATCAAATACAATCACATGGTAAATAAGACGAGTGTTTTTATGGTCAAAACAAATAAGTAACTTGTTAGAATGTTGTGATGTACGTGAACTGAACTGAAATAGAATTTTGAGATTATTTATTATCCTCTTCTGCTTTGACTGACTGGCGGTAATAATATCTTCCATGCATATCTCTGGTATTTGCATTGAGTCATTTCTGTTGCATGTGTTGAGTGTAGATTCTCTCGATGAACCAGGATTCAGTAATCAATCTCTCTCACTCTCTACCAACCTATATTACTATTTAGAATTTCAACCCTGTCCCACCCTATTGTGTGGTCGTGTGTTAATGCATGCAGTGCAATGTTGTGCTGAGTTTTTTCTAAATGACTTATCTTCTCTGGGTTGACCATTCTTACCTTAGCTAAATTCTTATATTCTAACAATCTGACTACCCTCGACCTACTAGTTTGAATTATGTAGTTGACCTCAGTCACAGTCATCACAGGATATTTTGTAAATTATATTATTTTGCTCAATTGAGTCAACGTAGTAGGTCCTTTAGCCTACAGAGCTTGTCTCTTAGTGAGTTTGTAAGTTTAAATGCCACCCTAATTCCTGCTTTATTGAGAATCCTACGTAGGGTCTCAGATGTCCCCTCCTTAAATGGTATAACAGTGGATGACTTATATTCTCCCTTATTTATGTTATCAGTGCTAGTTTCATAATTATTTTTAATTTGCTTTTGGCCTTTTTCGATCTTCCTAATGAATTTTATAGGATAGTTAGTTATTTAACACCAACGCTTCCTCTTCTATCTGTTTCATCATTTCATTATTTAGGTCTTTCGTTGTACTGCTTAGTAATGTTGTTGCTCGGGTTGTTAGACACACATATCTCCACCATATTTTTGGAGTAGGATTAAATGCATTTGAAGCAATATTTTCCCAGCTGTCTATAAAGATATCTGCTACGATATGCGGATATTGGTGATCCCATTGCTACACCTTCTGTTTGCCTCTATATCTTGCCTTGGAATTTAAAAATAGTAGATGTGAGGCATAACTGAATTCCTGAAATAATTTTCTCAATGGACAGCTTTGTCCTATGAGTCGGTTCAGGATCAACAGTTAGTTTTCTCTTTTAACCGCTTCTAAGGCCATGTTGATTGGCATATTAGTATCAAGACTAGTTATACCAAAACTAACCATATTTTCATTATGCTCTAGTTAAATGTCATTTAGTTTCCTTTCCATTTCATATGAATTAGTTAGCTTAGAGTTTGAATGATTTCTAATGGAGTACAATATTAGAGCTAAGTGGTTTGATAATTCATACGTCGGCGTATTTCTGAAATATACTATTGGTCGTATGGGGTAACCTGGTTTATTCCAATGAAGTCTCACAGTGTTATACAGTCATATTTACTGATGACCACGTTTCGAGCACAATTTATGGCTGTTTTATAATCATATCAAGTCCCTACTCACTCAACTTTCTAACTTCGTTTATACAATTCCATCATTATTTTTCATCCCTTGAATTGATTGGTAGTAGTATTTTCCATATTTCCGGTATGAGTGGTGAGTCATGTGATATTAGATGTAGGTCATTCTTAATGCCGAGATCTTTTAGATTCTTTTTATGCATATCCAGAGCATTCAGGTCTTCTCGCTCTCCAATAGAATACGGCATATGATCCAGTCGACCATTATTAAGAATATCATCATTGATAATAGGCAGGAAGCCTTTTCATATTCTTCACTTCACTTCAGCAACTTCTGTGAGTTTATGGTTGTGAATCACATGACATGTGACACTGCCATTTTATTATTATTGTTCCCTTGAGTTTCGAGTGGAACGTAGGGTTTCAACAACACATCACAACTTTCTTCTATTTTCTGCTATCCTCTTCAGCTGGGTCCACGATTGCTCAAATT